TTCCTTCCAGAAACCATGGAACTGTGCCAAAAGACAGTCTGCCCTTGAAAAACGTTCTAGCACTTCAAGGAATCCACATGAGTAACTGAGCTCAGGATGCAGAGTTTAGAGTCCCCACTAAAACAACCAGGTGGACTGGCAGAGTGTCAGCAGCAGCACTTCCCTCCAGCGCCCTGCAAAAGGTGTTGATCATACTGACATTCATTCCTGCACGGGAATTGCTATTCCTTTGGTATTCCAGGCTAACACCAGAGGGAAGCCAGGCAGGAAGCTGCCCTCTTTCTAAAACCCCAACTCTTTTATTCCTAGTGAGTTTTGGTTACTTCCTTAGACTTTCTTTGTCTTCAGCACAGCCAGAACAGGAAGCAAGGACAGGTGAGGGCACAGCTAAGCCAAACAGAGCTAGAGACCACATTACTTAAATCATCTGCACCATTCACAAGGAATATTATCCAGGCTTTTTCCAGATATTTGAGTTGAGTTTCCCAGAGAACACAGCAACAGCTTTTTTCTGATTTCTCCTCCAGAAACCCTTCTCAGCCCTTCCACAGCCAACGAGCTTGTTTGACCTGAGACAGACCATGACCTCTTTTCTTTGCTCCATTCTTGTCTCATCAACATGGGCTGGAAACAAAACAATTCCATTGCCACAGGCTACATCAGAGGAAGGCACAGAGCAAAGCTCTGATCCTCTTCCCTAGGAACAGCATCAAACACCAAGACAAGGATTTTAGGACAGACAATGCATCTGAGCAGTCGTTAGGTCACCTTCTGGCACACGGCCCTTTTCCCTGGGCACAACCACCAAAGCTACCAAGTACCACAGCTCTATTGTCAAAGCTGAGGCTGAGTTTCCAAGACAGAGAACTGGACACGTATGACATGTGAAGCCTTTTGCTTTTGAGCATTATTAATCCTGGATTAAGGAGGTGAGTGCAGTATGTGCATGAGCAGGCTCTCCCAGCTATATGCACAGAAAGGAAACAGCCAGTGCATTCCAGCAATCCTGAGTCGTGCCAGAACAGAATCCACCCAGGGAACTAATATATAGTTGAATGACCTGACTGATTTCAGCTCCTTGAGCTGATGCTCCCTCATAAGTACTTGCAGTATTCCAACAACCTCTCCCAGCCTCAAGGTTCACCTAAAACAATGCTGTGAGAATTCCACCTCCAAATGCACTTACCAGAGGAACCTCTTTCTCTTTTCCCTGACACTAGCAGATCCCAGGTGTGTTTTATAGGGTAAAAAGGCTGTAAAAACATAAAAAATGGAGAACTTCAAATCTAACAAATCCCATGTCCTGCACAGAACGTCTGTGTCCTGACAAAGTAAAGCTTTGCAAGGTGTTTTTCAGTGACCAGTTCCATAGCCCTCTTTGTGCTTCCCAAGAAACCTCATGTTATTGTCTTACTTAAAAAAAGAAAGGAGCCACGTGTGGCTTCAGGCCCTTCCCAGAAGCTTCTCCCTGCCCTGTTCCCAGGCTGGGAGCAGGAACCCCTCCGAGGAAGGTGAGGGGATTTTCCTCAGGGCTTCATGGAGTACCAGCTCCCTCTACCGCCAGCTTCCCAGCCAAAACTTCACCTTCCCACAGCCTCTTCCCAACACCTTCGGCTGAAGCAAAACGACATTCAGAAATCTGTGACAACCTCTAAAAACAATTTCACACCTGGAAAAGTCTTTATCACATCAATTGTGACCTCCTTATCTGTGGGTTTGTTAGACACCATTAGATGAGATAATTTTGCTGCTTTCCTTAACCTGCAGTTCCACACCTGTTTTTCCTTTGGCATAAGAACACCCTGGCAGCATCCAATTGCAGCTCCATGAGTGGTGTTCTGACATTCACAACCATCAGTGCAAACATCCCCAGAGCTAAACTGCAGCATTATTAGCACAACAACCTCTGCACTTTTGCTCCAGAACTGCTGGTTTTGGTCAGCAACTGTACCTCAGCCCTATCTGTACAGTTCCTCCACCATTCAAATCAAAATTTCCCATTCCACCTTCAAACTGCTGCTCCCAGGTTTTTGTTAGTCTACACCAAACTGATTAACTTGGAATCTTTTAAAATTTAAAATAAACAATTCACAACCATTTCAACAATCAGAAACACCCAATTTGCTACCTTTAGGACTTACAGCAAAAAGAGAGCCTAGATGAGTCCCAGTGTTATTTAACACTCACCTGCACAGTTCCCTAGGATAATTCAGGAGACAAGCATGGATTACTGGATTATTGTAACTGCAACACAACCAACTCTGCAACAAAACTTTCCAATAAAGGCAGATTTGTGCTGCCCAATCCTTCGCTGTGGCCAGGCAGTGCTTTATTTGGAAAACAAATATACAGCAGGTAAGTACATTTCTGCAGCCAGCACTGTTCACTCCTGGGCCAGTCCCCCCTCAGCTCAGACGTCCCTTGTGCAGGCTGCACCGGGCAGCCAGGGCAGCCAGGATGTCCCTGTACGGAGTGTCCGAGTCGGATCCGGTCCTGGGAATGCCGCAGAGCCGTCGGAAGGTGGGAGAGCGCAGCAGGAGGTTGTGGGAGAGCCCCACGAGGCTCGAGGACAGCCAGTACAGCGCCATGGACTGCAACGAGACAAACAACGGGTCAGCTCCCCCAGGCAGCAAACACCAGCTCGAGACAGCCCCTCCCCAGCACGGCCCTGGGTTACTCACTCACCTACAACACTCCTCCTCTCAACAACAACCACGGCTCCCGCGGCACAGGTCATTGTCTCTGACCTCCTCTGGGGAAGTGGGGAGGCTACACTGAGGCCTGGCTGTCCACAAATGAACTCATATTAAGCTTGCTTCAACTTCTGCATCTCAGACTACAAACTGATAAGCCAAACAACAAATGCCTTGTTTTCCCTAAGAACATTCCTCAGGGAAACACCTGGTAAACATGAGAAGTGTTTGAAGAAAACCGTGGAACATTTCCTGAGAACTATCCTGGATTCCCCTTCCACTTAGCAAACCTTTATGTCTTTAGATAATACATAAAGCTTTCCTCTTGTTCTTGAGCCCACAAAAAGGACCTGAACTTGCTCTGAGCATCCTTCAGTTCTGCAGATTCTTCCTTCTTTGATAAAGATATTCCAAGCACCTCTGTACTTACGGAAGGGACGGTGGCAGCAACAGGGACCATCAGCACGGACACCACGCGGAACACATTCGTAACGAGCTTCTGGAACCTGGAAACTTGCTTTGTTTTCTGAGAAGCAAAGATCTGAAAGAGGAGAAAACTCAGTTATAAACAAGCTCTTTTCGAACGACCTAGCTGAGGATTACCACCCAGACAGCCCATGAGAAGGTCAGTCAAGACTGAATTTTACTGAGGCTCAAGTGAAGCTGAGACATGTCACACCACCAGTGTGCTCTCTGAACAAGACACTGAAACATTCACATGCAGAGAACCAACAGGTTATTCTTCAGCTCTGCCCAGGGCATTTACAGCAGTGATAATCTGAAACCACCTCTATGTTTTATAACTGGGCAATACTGTCTGAAAATTCTGTAACAAGGTTTATCCCTCTGCAATCCTGTTGATTCTACCAACATACCTCCACGATCAGCAAGTTCACCAGCCCCAGGGAAACCGGCAAAATCCAGGTGGGATCAGGTGCCGTGAGGTCTGTGAACCACAGAGCTCCTCCCGAGGAAAACTCCTCTTGGACTACAGGAAAAATGTAAAGAAAAATCAGAATTCAGTAGGATTTGCTGCCTCAAGTGAGCCATGACTGCGCTATGTGTTAAACCAAACTAGCCAAGTTTCTAGGTTTGCTTTACCTACATGACAAACACGATGAAAGCAGAAACGTGTGGTTTCACAGATTTAGGCTGCTACAAAAGCCAGTAAAAAAAGGTGGGAGACACCAGCTGAGACCCACTTTAGCTCGTGACAGCCCCTGACATTTAAACCAGCAATAAAAACTGCTCTGATCTCAACCACTATACAGGCCAACAAGGAAAACGAGAGTGCAGCAACCTAGAGTGTTTATTTTGTGGCTTTGAAATAACTGTGTTTTCTTAATAACTTACAATTTTCCCCAACACCTCTATAACTAGCCACATTTTTATTTGGAAGAACAAACTGCAAACTCTTCTCCAAGATGTTCTCACCCTCAAGATGTGCTTGATAAAAATTAATTTTTTTTACTTAAAATGCACCATACATTCACCTTATCTTGTGGTGTTTAACATGAGACTCGACATGGGAGACAAAACCTACAGACTATGGTGACTGTGCCGTGGCACGGGTAACACTGCTTGCTGAACAAGTGTGTCAGACTAAATTGAGTTCAAAATACACTAACCTCAAACTATACCGAGTTTAAAACTCAGTTTGAACTATATGAAGTCGCAAATACATTAAGTTCAAACTTCTAATTTCAAACTATGCTAACCTCCAACTACGTTTAGCTGAACACCTCGCTGGCTGACAGTTCTTACACCAGGTGATCTGTGAAGCTCAAGAGACTGAGTGCATTGACCAGCAAAGCAGTTGTGAGAACAGGTGAACAGAGCTGACTTCCCAGGGTACCTCACCTGCGGAGCCCGCGGCGCCAACGCTGCAGTTGCGCAGGGCGAGGGACGCGCACACCCACACGGGGATCTGCACCCACACCAGCAGGGTGGCCTTGAATGGGTGGCAGTTGTCCCGGACGTACAGCTCCGTCACAATCCGCCGCAGGTTCTTCCTGAAGTGGAACCTTCCGGAGGGAAAAAACCCCGAAGTTCAGAGCCTCACACTGGGTAAAATCTGAGAGGGACTAGAACAAACCAGTGGTGGGAGGGGTAAGAGAAGCTAAGGGACCAGGGAGGTGATTCTGCCCCTGCACTCAGCTAGGTATTAGGAAGAGATTTTTTACAGTCAGAGTGCTCAGGCATTGGAATGTGCTGCCCAGGGAGGTGGTGGATTCACCATCCCTGGAGGCTTTCAAGCTGAGACTGGATGTGGCACTTAGTGCCATGGGCTAGTGACCAGGGTTGGGTTGGACTCAATGATCTCGGAGATCACTGATTCTATGATTCCTAAGCTTTGGGCACACGTATTGCTGTGATGCTGCTGTTTGCAGGCCCTTCCCCCTGGCTCTGGAGTGTGTCCAGAGCAGTGTGCTGTCCCCCTCGTACCTGCACACCCTTTCAGACCAGCCCAGCTGCTTCCCACGCACGGAAACTTCATAGCGAAGGCGCTCCGAGAGGGCTTTGATCTCGGGCTGCAAGTTTTCCAGCTGGCTAAAGAAAAGCACAAATGTTTGGGCACAGCTGCAGGTAACAAGTGCTTCCCCTCCCCATCTCCATTATTAGTTATCCCTGATCACTTATAGCTGGACAGGTATCAAACACATGAATTCTTCAATACCTGTACAGGTGCTAAACTCAGTCATTGCCACTGCATCATTTAATACCTGTACAGGTATCAAACACAGTAATTAGCACTGCATCATTTAATATCTGTAGAGGTATTAAACACATTAATTACCACAGTATCATTTAATACCTGCACAGGTGTTACACAAACTAATTACCACAGTACCATTTAATTCTTGTAGAGATATTGAACATATTAATTACCACAGTATCATTTAATTCTTGTAGAGATATTTAACATATTAATTACCACAGTATCATTTAATTCTTGTAGAGATATTTAACATATTAATTACCACAGAATCATTTAATACCTGTACAGGTGTTACACACACTGATTACCACAGTACCATTTAATACTTGTAGAGGTATTGAACACATTAATCACCACAGTATCATTTAACACCTGCACAGGTACCAAAGATGCCTGTGAAGGACAAGGTGCCATGTCAATGTCTTGGAGACATCAGCAAACACCACTTGCCTTTAAACAAAACAGCCACGTGAAATGACTGAGAACAGTGATAAGTATTTACAGGAAGAAAAACATTCTCTTACTACTACATGAACTAAACAATTTAGGCTTCATTTAAATACAGATTTTGTACTTTTCTAAGGAGAAAATGGGTTCTATCCCAGCTGAAACCAGGGCAATTCTTACTAAGCATCTTTTTGTCTTCACTCCCGACTCACGACCAGCTACTTTACTTCAAAAAAAACCAGAACACCTTTGCTGTCCCTTTAATGCCATTTAAAGGACACCACTTGGCACCCACCAAAGCCAAAGAGACTCCACTACACCTTGCAATATAACATGCAGTTTTGCTACCAAAAAAGGAGCAAAAATTAACAAAATTACTTAAAAAACCTCCAAGTCCCCACCGAAAAACCACTGGAATAGAAGAACTGTGATGCTTCTTCTGTGACTCCCCCAACATCACTCAGACCTCAGCAGCCTCAGCCCCTCAGCACTGCCCTCACAGCCGAGGGGCTGAGGATGGTGCTGAGGAGCTGTGGGCAGTGCTGATGGGGTGTGAGAGGCTGAGGA